GGTCTATGGTCAGAAAATCTTGATTCTCCGCGAATGTATGATACTTGATCGATGCATCTGCCACGCCACAGTATCCTATCACACCTGACAATTGTTCAATAGCAGAATATTATCAATGATAATGGTTTTCGATTAATATATCATAAGTTTTTGACTAATTGTGCATGTGACATGGTGATGAAGCAATACCATGCTGGCGTTCGACGTTTCTTCTTTGACTTAACAGTCTCACCAGCATAAGAGTCTGAATTTGTGAATACTTGTAAGTTGGTGCAAAAAATATTCTTCCCTCTTTGAAACCACTGAAAACTCTTCCTGCCTCTTTTTCTATGTTCAACTGAATAAAAATGAGAAGCAACTTTATCAGTAAATTTACTCGACTCATTGAACTGTTCTATCATGTATGTATATGTATATGTATATGCATATGTATACGTATATGAGCAGGTAGAGGGACATACTTGATCTTTCTCTAACAAAGTGTCCCAATCATTCTCCTCCAATAGAACCCTTGTTTCTTCATAACTCAAGGCCACCCTATAATTCAAATCTCCGAGCCATATTATTCGACTGCAAAACAAGCCAAAAATTGTTAGATTTCAAACGGCATGTAATCCTTCCGATACTTTGAATTTTAATATATGTATATTTGACGACTCACTCGTGATCGACTATCTTTTCTGGTGCTCGACGGCAAGGATTCTTACAAATCCTAGGGAATTGTATGCCTTTGAGAATCTCAGCTACATCAGAATTCCTCCTCACCTCATCGCCTTCTTTTTCGCCAGAAGCCAAGTGACTACATATGAAACAAAAGCTTGTTTGATGCAATGACATACTCATCGATATACACCCCTGCAATCAATTATGTAAAGATCAGTTTCATATTTTAGTAGCCATGTAGCATGTTGAATGGATATAGTATATAAGGATTCTTGTGGTTACCTTGTTGCCTAAGCAACCCATGATTCCTCTCCCTACAGAGTCTACTCTAAGATGACCAATGTGAGGTACTAATTCTTTCTTAGTCCATATGGTAAGAAAAATCCCAACCATTTGTTTACTTGATATAAGGGAGTATTTAGATTGGCCAGGAGTATTGGGCATTTCTGCAATCGAAATCAACTCTTCCATGCTGCTCGCTCCGGGAATCACGGGTCCTAACTTACTCATAGGATCACTAAACTTTCTAATCCTCCGCCGATCTCTTAACGTAGATTCCACAGGACAATTGCATGCCTTAAGGAGGCTGCTTCCTTCTGCCCTGAAGTTTCTACTGATAGCTTTAAGAGAAGGCTTCTGAAAGAAGTTTAGACTTGCTGGTGATTTTGATTCCTTTGTTCTCGATCCGGTTCCTGAATCGGATGAATCACTTAATTCATTTTTTGGTGTGTTTAGTGCTTGACTTATCAATGCTAACCACTTTGCTGCTGGTTCATTGTCTTCAATTACTAGAACATTTCCAGCACTTAGAGGAACAATTTCCTGAAACCTGAACATATAACATAACATCAAGTTATAATAATGATTTGAATGGAATTTTTTTTTATAGAAACAACTGCTTTTGAGTCGGTTCGTTTCGTACCCTAAGATATATATATCTGCAGAACCCTCCACCAGCAAGAAATCTTGAAGGTTGAGATCATAGCTTGGAGATTTTCCTCCTACATTCCATGTTGCAACAAAGACCCTGCAATTCCAATTATGAAACAGCACAGCATGAATAACATGGTATATGCAAACATTTTAAACCCTTGTTTGAACTGAAAAAGAAATCCCTTAACCTGAAACTCTGAATTTCGTTTTCCGGAAGCATCGGCTGTTGTTCAAAAGTGCATAAATTTAAGCCTTCAATCCCAGGCTAGTTTCCCTTTCTGTGAGTTGATAAGAAGTTCAAATCATTGGTTTACTTTGTCACATTTTCATAACCTAACAAATCTATAATCGAAAGAGTATTCATCTACTATGATAATGACAAGAGGAGCTTAAAGTCAATATCAAACAAGAAAATTTGATTTCTTCACACATAAGTTAAAAAAACCGTAATTATCCATATACGAAACTAACAATTACACGTTAACACCACTAATAAATTAAAAATATATATATAATATTTGAATTGAACGTAACCACATGTATTAATATCTTCGATACTGACGCATTACAGACACCAGATACGAACGCGTTTTCAATCTAAAGTCTCAGTGCTAAATAACTAATAACAAAAATATCAATGTTGTTAGGTAAGCTGCCAAGAAAATGCATATGAATGGAAAAAGATCATATACCTGAGAAACTCTTTCTCATCATGGGACCGTCAAGGAATGCTTTTCTCTTGGTTTCCAACTTCTTCTCCAAATCTTTCAATACAAAAAATTCAAATAGAAGATAAATAAAGGAGGCAACCGCGAGAAAACGAAAACAAAAACAAAAACGAAAGAGATATAATGAATACCAAGGTAATTGAAATTGAATCTCCTTCTGGATTAGATTTGAGTGCATCTTCATCGGAGCCTCTCCCGTTTCGCCTTGATCCAAAAATCTTGGGCAAGATAGACTTTACAAAAACAAAAACAAAATCAATAACAACGTAAATAATGAATGCAATGCATGAAGGAAATTAGAAAGAAAGAAAGAACCTTTTTCTTTTTCTCATTCTTGACATTAGGAGTGTCAGGAGAAGAACTGGTTGAAGTGGTGATAGGGTAGATAGGGCTAAGGGAAATGTTGTATTGGTTATTAGCTTTGGTCATTACAGAATTAGCATTTGATTTTGAACGTGAAGAAGAAGAGGAAGAGGAAGACATTCATTCATTTATATTATTATTCCAACCATGCATGCACATAATCGGATATTTTGGTTCATAATATTCACACGTTTTGCAGTAATGAGGAAACAACAATGTGAATAATATTCTTCTTTGTATAAATTCTCGTGATTATTTTCAGAATAATATTTCTTCTAAGTTTATTTTTGGTTGTAATTGGATTAGGAAAAAGATGATGCGAATAATGTTGTTTTTGTATGTTTTTGTGTTTTGGTTTTGGAAGGATCAGAATTTGGCGGCAGGGTTTTCGGAGCATATAAGGTTAAGGCCGTTAGGGAAGCAAATAAGTGGTATGAAACCGCTGTAACTTAACAGCATATCAAAATAATCCAGAAAATAATTCATTTATTTCATTTATTTTTGACAAAAATATTTAAAAGATTATTTTTTCATGTGTTTGATTCATATATTAATTTAAAAATATTTTTAAAATAATTTAAAAATAAAAATATTAGTAACATAAATAAATACATTTGTATGTGTTTGAATTAATACATTATTTTAAATATATTTACTTTTATTTTCTTAAATAATTTGTGGGTTAATACGAATTCTGATATGATATTCGTTCTTCTATCGTATGAATATTGGTATGTTAAACGCATTTATTTATAAAATATAATAACAATGAAAAAATAAAAAGTTAAAATTATTTAATCAAAAAAATTTATTATTTAAAAAATATATATTTATTTATATTTGAAATATAAATATAGTTTTCTATATATAAATACTTGGACGAACCGTATATTTTTTCTGTATATAAATATTCTTTTCATATATAAATATTTTTCTGTATGATATTATTTAAAAAAATATTTATACAATCATTTAATTTTATAAATATCAACTAATATCATAATATTTATAAATGAGTTTAAAAGAGATGTAACGTAAAAAAGTTTTACACAGGTGTCACAAACTTACTCATGATTTGGCTACTGAAAAGTTTAGGAGTATGAAAATGAGGTTGAATGGTGGGGGAGATTATGAAGCTATTGGTGATGAAGAGTTTGAGGTTGTCATTTTGGGTTGTTTAAGTCCAAGTTAAATGCTTTGTAATGTAACACTATCCTATTTTGATAGAGAGAAAGAGGTTTAATTAATTGTAGCAGTAGTTTTTTTGTTTGTATATGTATTCATTTCCACTCATTCAAGTGTCAATTCCGAAATGAAAATCACTTTTGTGTAATCTTTCTAACAGTCATTTTCTAACAAAGGGTAAATTTGCAATAAGTAAATGTATTATTAAGAAACCACTTTATTTTCGTAAAGCAAAATATCTATTAATCATTAACTATAAATTAGTTTCACTTAATTTTTTCAAACCAAAAAGTGCCTAAATAATACAATTCTTTGGATTATTATACTATAATGGTACAACCAATTGAATTTAATACACCAGTGAATCAGTAACCAGCTTTGATGGAGATTAAGGAAGCTTTGAGAAGCCATCTTGCCTCCTTAGTTAGAGAAAGATCATGCATAATATTGTGTAAGCATTTACACATAGTTTAGATTTTTCTTGAGCCATTGTCTGCATTAGCGGAAAGGCCAAGTTTGTGACATTTATTTAAGAGGTAGGTGTCTTAAACAAATATTTCAAACTAAAGGACCATGATAAACATCAGGATGTCATTTTAAAGCGGCAAATAAAAAATAAAGTATTAATTTTATCGGATGATATTTAAGTTATATCGTATTGTGTTCACAGAGATTAGTGTATTGAATTGTCGTTTGACAAATCTCTTGGTAATGAGTTTGAGAATAAATGGGTTGAAAGTAAATGTATCAACAGAAAAGAAATGTATAAAAAAGAAAAAAGAATAACTTATCAAACATGCATATATACTACTTCTCACAGACTTAAAATTATCGACCTATTATACTAAACCTACGATATTCATCAATGTCATCACATGTCACCCACAACCTAAGTCATTTTTAACCCAAATTGAAAAGCCGACTACATCACCTCCGTAGCAATCTCTCAACCACCTCAACAACACAGAAGTCAACTGTGCTCGCTTGCATCGACGATCTCTCAAAGCGACACAAACAACACATATGAATTATCCACATACACCCTAAGTGAATAACAATGCTAAATCTATCTCTAGAATTCAGACACTATTAGACAATCATCCTAGATAAGAATTCAAGTAGTATATGTCTATAGCAACTCAAATCCCTAGCACAGAGCAAAAGTCAAAGATAACAATCGACAAAGATTTGTAAAGCAAGTTTTATATAACGACAAGGACGACAAATATACATGAGTTCAAAGAAAATACATGTACAAACCCAACAAATAGAGAATACACAAATGAAAAGAGAAATGAACCGCAAATCTACCGGTTTGTCAGTGCCGATCAAAGAGCAATCTACCCCGGATCATCTGTATGCAAGCTCCATAGTTGTTATCTAAGTTAATCCTAACAAAATTAAAGATTGATGAAGTTGGGAGAAAAAACTTCCCCAAAACCATCACCTAACAAATGAATGAAATGAAGTTATAAAACAAATCTCAGCAGACCGCGCTAAGCGGGCCTGGCGCGCTAAGCGCGACTTCTTTATTTTACACATCAAACCGCCCTAAACCGCGTTAAACGCGATACCCGCGCTAAGCGGGCTTCAAAATAATGCTTATGCCAAAGTCAAAATGCAAACAGTGCGCTACAAAATGCGTTGAGCGCACTTACGCTTAGCGGCCTTCTGCGTACTAAGCAGGCTCTCCTGGGAAAAACTGGTCTTTTATTCCAAAAATGCACATCCGGAGCCGTGCCTTCGACACCTTATTCCTCACTGCTCCAAAATGCAACAAATATCTACAAAATGAATGGAAAAATATCAAACGGTACACTATGTACACAAAAACACAAATTAAACGTATTTACACAAAAGTCGAGTTTATTCAACGATATTAACAACAAAGAGTTGATAAGTGCAACAAAAAATATATACAAAAATAGCTACAATTTGCACTTATCAAACTCTCTCCAACTTGATTTTGTTTGTCCTCAAACAAGGCCAAATAACTCAAAGAACCAAAAGTAATCAACCAAAATGTCATGAATCAACAAGTTTTAAAACGGAAAACAAATGTATGGCTCAAACAAAAAAACACATGCAAGGTAAATACTTACCAAAATCCTACAACGGCGACATGTAAACGAAACAAATCCTAAGTACAAAAATCATACTAAACATTCTAAAGCAAAACAAGCTCAATCATGAATCACACCTAGTAAAAATTCACCGGTAGATGAAGAACGCACAAAGGTGAGGGACAAAAAACACTCATCCACAATCTTGTAAACAATAGACTAAATTATGTATTCATCCAAAAACACATATTAAAAATACAAAGACAAGAATCACAAGGGCTTTTTAAGATTGTAATGTGGCTTGGTTAACAAACAAGAGATAAGTCCTAAAGTTAATCGAAACAAAAATCTGCCTTAACCTAAGGGAGTGATCAGCTCACAAAGACCAAGCAAAATAATTTCAATTAAAATTCTTCTTCATTCCAAATTTCAAACCAACACACATCACTTATTAATACAATATTATTTCATACTCTTTTTGTTTTTGTTCTTCAAAACTTTTCTCTTTTTTCTTTCTTTTTCTTTTCTTTCTTTTTCTTTCTTTTTTTTCTTTCTTTCTCAACCTCATAGTAATACACACAAGCACATAAATATTTCTCTCTCCAACTAGAATTCAACCATATCATAATATGAATACTCCCTACTTTCTAAGGTAAAAATTCAAACCATAAACCATAGTTGAGGGTTCAAGAAAATAAAGAATCAATATTCATACAAAAATATGAGTCAAACACTCATAGACAAGCATTTAACAAAAACAACATGGATATCGACAAAAAGAGTCAAAAGGGGATACTAATGATCACACACTCACAAGGTGAATTGACTATTTAGCCAAGGTAGCTGTGCTCAAAATAAAACAAAAAATTTCTTGATTATGTTCATGCTTTCATACAATCAATACAAACAAAATATTAAACATAATAAAATCCAGTTAAAACAAGAATTGTGGTCTCCAGCATATATGAATAATGAAAAGCTTCATCACGTTTATGGGTGAAAAGAAAAATAAAGTGACTCAAGTCATGAGAAAGTAATGCAAAAAGAATGAATGGTATAGTAATTATATAAATCAAAAATTTCCTAAACATGCTATGTTATAGAAAGAGATAAACGAGTATCCGACGAGTACCAACTTCAAAAACTATCATTACCATACATCTGCAAGTTGTCACAATCAAAATCAGAAAATCATCAAATGCGACTTCAAACTATCTAACCAAAATTTGAGTCCAATCATTAAAAGAAAGAATTAAAATTATTACAATTAATTACTATACTATAAAGTCTTGGGTGAAGTGGGAAAAATGAGAGTCAAGCGAAAAATTAAAAAGATTACACCGGCTCTACATAGCAGGGCACGCTAAGTGGCACAGAGCGTGCTAAGCGCGCTACACCAATTGTAGAAAAATCAGGACACCAACAGTAGTGCAACAACACCCTCCACAATCACCTACACAATCTCAACTACACATGTAAATATTTACAATATACAAACACACTTCCACAAGCTAAACACGACAAGCTTGCAGTAAAACACAAATTGACATAACGAAACAAAAGGTTGAAAATGAATTAACAAGTTGAAAAGTGAAAATTTGAGAATTTAAAACAAGTCCAATTTCTACTTGCTAAAACACATGTCAACACATACATAAACGAATACAGACAACACGTGCTTGTTTTACATCGTACACTCGATGCCTTTATTGTGAAAGTTAGTAACCTCCTCTCATCATGTCATGCTATTCTCACACCGTGCAAACCTAAAGAAAATATCCTAACAACCACACAACATACGTTACGAAAACGAGACAATTTACAACAATACTTGAAAACAAAGAAAACACATATATGCACAAGTATGGAAAG